TAAATGCGAAAGCATTAACTATCACAAAATACATGCTTTCCCTCCTAACATAAGAACATATAGTCTATACTGGATTACTAAACAAACATATGTATCACATGAATTTTAAAGATCTGATTCTGAAACTCATACAGATGAATATCATAAGCATCACAAACATGTTACAACAGTCTAAAGTTAGAGAAAAGCAATACAGCAACAAGTCATCATATATAGAGGTTTCAAAGGTCTAAGACATGATCAACTTTCTCAGTAGGCCCACAAATTTACAGACCTCAATAGGAAATCCCTAAGAATCATACACCTAATGGTATTAGTTTCAAACAAATCATCAAGTTCAGATAATATCAGCAAGGATCTTTATGAGGACTAGGGATTGGATTTGATTTTAAAGTTATCAGGAGAGCAAGGAATAAGGCAATTCTTGACAAGATGTATAATCAGGAATTAAGTAAGAACATGTAGTAGATAAATATCTACTTAAACATCATAGGTCAGTAATGACCTTGTGCATATAAGGAAACCTTACACATTTTGAGAGTTGGATCAAGCAAAGTTATAGACAAGGGATAGGCACTGCGTCAGGATAGGTTTTAACTCAAACTTAATTCTAAGTTAGCATATAAATACAAAGATGATCATGCTTTTTTTTACAAGTTATCACTTAACTAGGGCAGAGTGACTGGATTCTTTAAAAGATAAAGATGCATACCAGCCTTTTCAAAGATGCATGATGACTCTAAAGATAAGAGATAGGAGATATAATACTAAATAAGCATGCTGTTGAGGGGTGTTGACTAATCAAGAAAACAGTTAAGTTCAGTTTATCTAATTACCAGCCTTTATAACAAAGGGAAAGGAACAGAACCATGATCATATTATAAGGAGAGATGACATAGCTTTAACAAATGTGTTCAATAGGATTGCAGAGAGAAGAAAGGGGAGGTTTAGTTCAAATAAGATCAGGTTAACAGAAGCAACAAGCAACTTAAAAAAATGGAAGACCATAGCAGCAACAGTCTAACAGACTTAACAAAGGAGATAGCATATGAACACTTAGATTTTTTCTGCCCAAGGTTTAAACGGATAGAGAATATAAACTTAACACTTTCAGATTCATCCAATCATAGTTTTCAGAATATAAGTTCAACTTCAAAAACTCACAAGCTATAGAGATGCAACTGGCAAGGATAAGAGTTACTGCATGACAACAAAGCAATAAGATTTATGTGAACATGATCATATAACAACTTAAACATGTAGACTGTTGGAAACGCAGGAAATAAGAACAGCAAGAATCAAGTATATAGTTTAATCGACCATCATTTAGAGAATCATAGCAAGACAACTAATCACAAATAATCATTCAACTAACAGAGCACAAGTATTAACATGTTAAATACCATAAAACTATTGTAACATACAGAACCTAACTTAGCATACTTGTATCATTCAAAGAAACGAACAAAAGAGAAGAATGAGAGCGGTGCTGACCTTTTTGAGGGCAGCAGACCAAACGAGAGCTCTTTTCAGTTGCTCAAGATCCCAGAACACTCGAGTTTGGACCGGCGATAATACTCAATAAAAAGGAAAATGAAAATAGTGAGAAACCTAAGGCTAAACTTCTCAGTGTTTTTTGTGTGTGTATCTCTTTAGTGTTAGGTCTTAGTTCTTAGGTTATCTCCTTTTTTTTAGGATTTCAGGATTCAAACTAAGATAGTGGAAGATGACTCATGCTAATGATGATAGAAAATCGAGTGAAAATCAGAAGACAGAAGGGGGGAATTCAGTATTGAGTTTACTTGAGTGGAGGGTAAAGGATTCCATGATGATTTTCTGAAGAAGGTTTCATGCATGCTCCGATTTGACAAAGCATGAAGGAACATCAGAGACTTGATGTTGCGTCTTTGGGTCCAGGGTTTCAAGATTCAGAGGTTTGAATTTTGTGATTGAAAAAGGAATTTACAGTATGATTCACGGACTAAAGGAGGCAAGAGGTGATTCAGGCTCCGATTAGAAAGATCATAACAGATCTCAGGCGATTTGAGCTTTCATCTTTGAGTCTAGGGTTAAGCTTTGGGGGTTTCGAATTTGTGTGATGAAATGGGAATGAAATCAATGAGATTAGCGGATTTAGAAGGCAAAGAAAATAAATATCTGATCGATTTGTGACTTTGCACTAATTTGTGCAAGGTTTGTGACTGATTGAGTTCGTGAGGTTAAGAGAAAAGAGAGGGGAAAGGGAAAGAGAGGTGGCCAGGTCTCTGAGTGAAATTATTAAGGTTTTGGGTACTGAGAGGTGTCTCTAGGTTTAAGAGTGTGAGATAGAATCTGGAATGTGGGATCTAATGATCAACGACCCTCATAATTTGGGCATTAAAGATTAAAGGATGTAAAAAGTTACTGTCGTTGGATGGTTGGATTTGGACGGTTGAGATTGAGTCTGGAGAGATACAAAGAATAAAGGAAAATTGGGGATAACACATGGGTCGTTGATCTGACGGTCCAGATTCATTGTGCTTTCTTTGTGAGTGGGAGAGGCGAGTGATGTGGCAGGTTGTGATTCGGTTATGGAGAGTGGCATGGACTGCCAAAGTGGAGAAGGAGATGGGTGACTGGGTCAGGTCCTAATTGGGCCTTGTATTTGGGCTAAAAATTATTTAAAAGGTAGCCATTTTATAATTGATTCAAGAATTGCAATTGTGGTCTTTTGGTCTTTAATCCTTTTTGAAATTAAGTTAACTAAACTTTATAATTATCAATAAAATGTAATGAAAATTATAATTGTTAAATACTACTCCCTCCATTCTAATTTATGTGAACCTGTTTGACTAGGAACGGAGTTTAAGAAAAAATGAAGACTTTTGGAATTTGTGGTCCTAAACAATTCAAAAAGGGTCCCAGAGTATTTGTGTGGTTATAAAAGCTTCTCATTAAGGGTAGAATTATAAGTTTAAGCAAAATTATTTTCAAATTTAGAAAGGGGTTATTCTTTTTGGAACGAACCAAAAAGGAAATAGGTTCACATAAACTGGAACGGAGGTAGTACTAGTTATCGTAATTAATTATTATTTGTAAAAATACTTCACTAGGACATTAATTTGAATTATTGAAATAGTAAACCAATTAACCATTTTAAGAAGTGATTTATTGAAATAATTATAGAAGTTACATATAGAAATTATTTTAATAATCCTAAAATATATTTGTAATTACATAATACTAATGTCAAATGATTAATTTTGAAACTAACACTGAATTAATTCGTAGATATAGGTATTCATTACTGGAAAATACTTTAAAAACATTTATTGTAAATTATTAAATATAAATAAATTTATTTTAAAAGGGAGGGTCAAAATTGACCGTCAACAACCATAACCATGAGAGGAAGATGAGGCTAAGTGTGATGGTGCAGTGATTCTGATTGTTCTCATGTGCCTGAAAGCTGGGGTATTGATGGAGTATTATAAGATCTTTCCTCTGATGTGGTTAGGTAGAGCTGATGGGATGTGGAAATAGGTCACTGCTGGCAGCTTGTGACTTAATTTGGATAAGGAATCAGCTAGGCAATTAGCTTCTCTATACACATGTGAGGATCTGAATTCCTCACACTGTGATCATAGGTTCTTAAGTTTCTGCAACTTCATCTTTAGAGTCCAGGGGTATTCATTATTATAGCTCAGCCACTGGATAAGAAGAGTTAAATCTGCTTCAAGGTGGACTTTGTGAAAACTATTGTCCAAGCACCATTGCACTCCTATGATGGCTGCTTCTATTTCAGCAAGATTGTTAGTACCTTCCCCAAAAGGGTAGCAATGGCATGGATGAATTCACTAAAATGATCTCTGATGATGACCCATGCTCCTATTCTACCTGGATTACTCAAAGCACTCCCATCACTATCGACCTTTACAAAGTTTGTTTCAGGTCTTTTCCAGATGACTTGAATGACAGCGGTGTGGTGCTTAATTTGTTCAACTATTGGATATAGTTCATTCCAGTTGAAAGGCCAGGAGATATGAGGGAAACAGATTCTCAGCATCAGTGAAACATCTGAATTGATAGAGAACAAGACCCTGGCCATGGAGGATGACTTTCCTCCATACTTTGCAGTACATTTGTTCTTTTAAAGGTTCCAGCACATAATAATAGGTATGGTGTCTAGGATTAGTTTTTGGACTTCATTGTGACTTCTCTGCATCCACCAGGTCATTAAGATCAGTTTGAGAGGCTTATTGTCAGTTTGTATTCCTGCAATTCAACCATATTTCCTCCAAACAAAACTGGCAAAAAGACCTCTGCTAAAAATAGGATACACAGTTTCATTGGCAGGTCTGGAGCAGCAGACACATCTGGATACAGTAGGGTTGCTAAACAAAAGCACCCTATCATTAGTTGATAATTTGTTTCTAAGAGCTCTCCACAAGCAAAAAGACAATTTAAAGAAATTTTCTTATACCAGGTCATTCTGTTGGAGAAGTTAGATTATTTCTTCTTTCTGATGAGTTCCCAAGCAGAGGCAGAGATGAAATTGCCATTAACAGTTGGTTTCCAAATGGCTTCATCTAAAATATGAGGTTGGTAGTAAATAGGGGTCTGAATGATGTCCTGGATCTTATAGTATGGGGAAATTTCATTTAGCTTCTGAAGATTCCATTGACCATCAGTCTAGAAGTAGGGTACATGATTGTTACTAGGCCTGCCTCCACCAATTTTGTGGTTAGCCAAAGGCCCAGTTCCTAACCAATTATCCCACCAGAAAAGACTGTTTCCTCGGTGAAGTCTCCATTGAATAGCTTGCCCAACTTCATTTTTATTAAGAATCATCCTCTTCCATGCTTGGGACTGACCTGAGTCCCGTTTTTTGGATATGGGATTAGACCTTTGACAGTACTTGGCTCTAAGGAAATTACTCCACAAAAGTTCTAAGGTGCCACCATTATTTGAGCTCCATTGATTTGCAAACATCTTCAATTATTCTGAAACCTAGACCGCCCTCATTCTGGGTAGGCAAGCTTTTTCCAAGAAGCCCAGTGATATTTCAATTTGTCTTTTTCCAGACCCCACAAGAAGTTTGCTGCCAATTTCTCAATATGCTTCATAACAGTTTTTGGAGGAGACACTACAGACAAGAGGTGGATTAGAATTGATTGCAACATATGTTTTATCAAAGTAGCCCTACCACCATAGGATAACATTTTGCCATGCCAGCCTTTGATTCTACCAACTATCTTAGTTGTGAGATTATTGTAGTGAATGATCCTCTTTCTACCAATATACAAAGGGCATCCCAGGTAGGTTAGTGGATATTCCCTCCCAGAGAAACCAGTTTCTGCTTTAATCCTTCTAATAGCAGACTGAAAGGCACCAGATGAAGTCATGAAGTGACTCTTATCCTTGTTAATTTTGTGGCCTGAACTTTCTTCATAACTGCTCAAGATCTTCATAATATTTTAAAGTGATACTTTTCCTCCTGAGGTAAATATGATAATGTCATCCGCAAAATTGAGGTGATTAATCTGTGGTCCTCTTCTTTGCATATAGAAGCCATTAAAAATTGATAATGGTTGAGATTATTGAGCATCCTAGACAGCAGTTCAGCTCCAATAATGAATAGAGAAGGAGCCAGGGGATCTCCTTGCTTTAGACCTCTAGTAGATTGAAAGAAGCCCCATCTGGTGCCATTAACCATGACAGAATGCCAATTATTAGACATGGTTCTCCAAATCATGTCAATGATTCTTTCACAGAATTCCATTCTTCTCAGCATGATACATGTGAAGCTCCGTGAGACTCTATCATAGGCTTTGGCCATGTCTAATTTAATAACAACATTGCTCCCAATATTAGGCTTTTTGATTCCATGGACAATTTCCTGGGAAAGCATGATGTTTTCAGAAATGTTTCTCCCTTAAAAAAAGCCTGACTGATTGGCTGAGATGATTCTGGGAGGATTGGAGCCAAACTTGAACTAATAATCTTGGAAATAATCTTGTTGATGAAATTGTTAAGGTTGATTGGTCTAAATTGTGTAAGGGAATTAGGAAATTCCACTTTTGGTAATAGGACAATACATACACCTATCATATATCTGGGCATGGTGCATCCTCCATAGAAGGTCAGGACAACCTGCATCAAATCAAACTTGATGACTTCCCAACAAGCTTGGAAGAACTTAATTTTCATTCCATCAGGGCCTGCTGCACTTGTAGGATTCATGGAGAAGACTACTTCTTTTAGTTCATTCATTTTAGGGCCTTGGAAAGAGCAGTGTTGTCTTCAGGGGTGATCGTGGATTAGATACAATCACTAAATTTAAAGTTTAAAATTAATGGGTGATTATGGAAATACATTAAAATTAGTTGAAAAGCACTAACCAATGAAGTTGGGATGAAAATCTCTTCAAAAACCTCTCTAGTCCGAGTATTCTTCGCGTCCGCGAAACACACAACCCCGTTGGCCTTCGCGTTCACGAAGGCAATTCCCCAGCCAAGCCTCCGCGTTCACATCCCAGGGGTTGCGTTTGCGACGAATACCATATACCCTCCCCAGACATTTCCCAAGCCTACGCGTTCGTGTGAGGCCTTTCATGTCTGCGAAGGGAAGTCCCCCCAAGCCTTCACGTTCGTGTTCCACCTCTTGCGTTCGTGTAGTGTATATAGCCCCAGCCCTAAATTCCCCTTCGGGATCGCGAAGCACTGATACACCAGCAGAAAAACCAGTAATTCAACAAGTCCAAAAATGGTCTGAAACAAATCTGAAACTCTCTCGAGCCCCCCCCCCC